ATAATATGGTTTTACGTAAGTAATTTTTTTCAACATTTCTTCAAACTTGATTTTTTCTAAAACAAACGATACGAAAATCATCCCTTTAATTATTTTTTATTTTTTCACTTACTATTATTATTTCTATTACACTAAAAAGTAATTTTACAAAAGAAAGAAGGATATATGAACATGTATGGACATATTTCATTTATAATTATACACGTTTATATGGATATTTATGCACGTTTACGTGTGTATGTTTATACATATTTATACATATTCATTAATGAAAAATTTTTTACCGGGTATGTCATTAAAAAAGCATTGTAGTTACATAACTTAACTCTGGAAGATGTATTAAATTGGACTCAAATTTAATTTATTATTTACTATGTTCATACATTAATGTGAACGCTTTACTTTGAAACTAAAAAATGGATTGATTTTGACACATATTGAAGCTAAAAATAACAAAATGTTATTAAACGTAAGGGAAAGGGTTGCTATTTAATATCTGCGACAAAGTAACATAATCGACGTTTTATAATAATGTCTTAAATTTACTCATCCATTTGATAAAATTTATGCAAGTGTCCGAACTATCAAGAATGGTAGTATATATTTAACGCTTATTAAATTATTTATTTCAATTAGATTTGGCAGTTTATGTTGCAAATAAAACAGAGAGAGGTAAGATTTGGCTTGGGACATTTCTGCTATGGATATAATTTTATCTGCTGGGTATGTCTTATTTTAAATAAAAGTATAAAAGTATATAATAAACGTATATACATATATATACGTACAATATATACATGTTGGAACAATAACTCTGTCCACTTTGAATATTTCCCCTATTTTTAGGGATATGTAATATTATATTTACTGAAGTTGTATAACATCAAGGGGATATAATATACTATTAATAGTTTTTCTATTGATGGAGGTGCTTCGGAGATTTCAAGGTCACTTTCACTTTTTTAAATGAAATTGAATGATTGTTTTACAAAATATAATTTCTCTAATTATTTTACATAGAATAGTATTAAAGTAGGGTATCAAAAAATTAATGGTTTACGAGATATTTTGTACTTTATTCTGGCATATTAACATAAAATTTTTAATAATTCATAAACTATTAATTTTTTTATAACCTTAATACTTTTATAAACATAATAACGAGATGAATCAATTGGTGGATGAAAAACACATAGTTGCTTTAAAATAAATATGTATGTATAGAGGATAATTTTTTAAATAAGCAGCTATGTGTGTAATTTCCCAGTGAGACATGACAATAGAATCGATATCGAATGAATGTTGATTCGATATTGAAATCATCAAATTGACGTCTATTCGACATCGATTTCATTGTCATTTCTCACTGAGTTCTTTCCATCAATTCATTCATCTCATTATTCTGTTCATAAAAGTATTAAGGATT